CTATTTTCTCCAGTCATAGCACTATTGTCCCCGCGTCATAACACTGAGTGTCCCCGGCTAAACACTAATGGTCCCCCGGTCATAGCACTATTAGTCCCCGGCTCATAAACACTAGTGTGAACCCGGTATAACACTATAGTGTGACCCCGGTCATAACACTAGAATGTGTCCTCCCACTCTTCTTAGTAAAAAACGCGACATCCTAGATGTACACTTAATATAATTTCTTTTTATTCCAGCAATGCTCACAAGGCGTATCACATATTTATCTTGAAAATGATTATGCATTCTACCTGTAATTATTAAAGCCAGTCCCAAGTTAGTAGGCTTACAGACGATGTCGCCACATTGACACTGACAGACAAGTATGTGCTGGTGTGTGTGTGTCGTGTATGTGTGTGCTTGTGTGCGATTGGTGTGTGTGGCCTGTGTGTGTGCTGTGTGCGTGTGTGTGTGTTGTGCGCGCGTGGGCTGTGTATATGCTGCGCTGTGTAATGTGTGATCGTGTGTGTGTGCGCGTTTTTGTCGGCGCGCCAATTGTGTGATGGTCCAGGAGAATATGCCGGTGTTATTGCGATAGCTGCTATGAAAGGCGGACGCGCGCAAGCCGCGAAAATATCGTTGTGCACTGAGAGGAGTGAGCCGATTAGAATGCAAGACGAGAGGACACTTTAAGACGTTTCGCGCTCTCCTTCTCCGCCGTCTCTCTCTCTCTCTCTCTCTCTCCTCTCTCCTCTCTCTCTCTCTCACTCTAACGTTCTCTCTTTCCCCTCTCTCTCTCTCGTCTCCTTCTTCCCCCTCTCTCTTCGCTCTCTCATCTCTCGCCGTTTTATCTCTCTCTCCCTCGGTCGCTCTCTCTACCCTCCTCCTTCCCCTCCCCCTCTCTTCTCTCTCTCTCGGGCTCCATCGATCCCCCTCTCTCATCCTCTCTCTTCTCCTCTATCTCCCCCTTCGCCTCTCTCTCTCTCTCCCCCTCTCTCTCTTTACCCCCTCTCTCTCCCCTCTCTCTCTTTCTCCCTCTCTCTCTCTCTCCTCTCTCTCTCTCTCTCTCTCTCTCGCTTTCTCCCTCTCTTCCCCCTCTCTCCTTCTCTATCTCTCTCTCTCTCTCCACCCTTCTCTCACCCTCCTCTTACTCTCCCCCTCCCCTCTCTCTCTCTCTCTCCCCCTCTCGCTCTCTCGCTCTCTCTCTCTCTCTCTCTTTCTCTCTCTCTCTCTCCATCCCCCCTCTCTCTCTCTCCATCCCCCTCTCTCACCCTCTCTTTCTCCCCCCCCTCTCTCTCTCCATCCTCCTCTCTCACCTTCTCTTTCTCCCCCTCTCTCTCCTTCTCTCTCTCTCTCTCCATCCCCTTCTCTCACCCTCTCTTTCTCTCCCCCCCCTTCTCTCTCTCTCTCCACCCCCCTCTCTCACCCTCTCTTTCTCCTCCTCTCTCTCCTCTCTCTCTTTCTCTCTCGTGCGTGCACTACAGAGGGTGCTACCTAATGTGCTGCTGCTGTCATCGTGTATGTGTGGATAATTTATCGAAGTAAGATTTTACCGTAACCCCTCGTACAGTGCGCGTGCGCCCCCCCCCCCCACACACACACGCCAGCTCGTGTGTGTGTAGCTCTAGTACTAGAGCTCGTGTACAGTTGCCGCAGGCCTGCGTACTAGCGCTCGTGTGTGTGCTGTAGCATTATGATAATTCACTATACAGTAGAACCTTCCCCTCTGTGGGCGTGGCCTGCAGGCAGAATACATGCATTAGGCCCCATACACAAGCCTCTCTAGGCTGCTGGCTTTTTCCCTTCTCTAGCTCGAAAGAGGAACTATCTGTTAACCACGTAGAGACAGGCTTCTCCTTTCTCTAGCCTAAAATAGGAACTATACATTTGGTATAAACCATGTATTGTGTTCGTTTTCTGACCTTTCCCGGTCTGTCTCGACGTTATACGGGATTCTCTAGTCAAAAATAGATTAGTTACAGAAGAACCCCCATAGAGCCGTTCTACCTTCTCGAGCCCAAAGCAGGAAGCATACGGGGAATATATATATGGGGAACCATAGAAGCGTTCTTCCTTCTCTAGTCTCTATATGAACCGCAGTATACCTTCTCGCTAATTCTCACATCTATGTTGCTGCTCCTACGGCGTGAAATAGTCGTAGAGCCGGGTCGGACTAGAAGCATGTGTGATCCCTCTCTCCTTCCCCTCTCCCCTCTCCCTTCTCCCCTCTCCTCTCCCTATGTGTGCGTGCGTGTGTATCCCCGAGAATTATTTACGAAGACCTCCTGTCCACTTATATCGTCGTGTAGTTGTCATGGAAGCATAATATCGAGTCCCTCGCAGCAAATCTATCTATACGTACCGTGGCTCGATCATTCCCAACCTGCCCTAAGCGCACGCGGGCCTCGAAATAACATATCAAATCTACTTACTATCAGGCCAAATTTATTATTTGTTTTGTTTTGTTTTGTTATTTTATTATTTGTCATTATTAACTCCTGTTACTATGTATATACGCTATACATTTCTACGGATAGATATTCTACACGCATATTCTACGGTTATATTCGTATCAGGAGTAGATAATAGGGAATTATTTCCTATTATCTACTCCTGATTCGTATATATTCAGCGCATGGCAACCGAGCGAGCGTTCCTCGCGACGTCGCATGATCTTCGCGAGCCCCTTCTATAGCGATATATCGATGAACCCAGTTCAACGCACAAAGCCGCGCTCTTGCGCATGCGCGCTGCGCCTGACTGTGTTTGTTGAACTTCCCCTCCCTTGCCTATACTCATTGCTGCCTGTGTTGCACGTACATGTGCGCTGAGAGCTGGCTAGGAGAGAAATCATATCGAGTTTATGGGCGAGTGCGTTCCGTCTGTTTCTCTCTCTGTGTCTTCGCTCGTCTGTGCGCGTGTGCTTCCACGAGCAGCGCGTGTACTCGCACGTACACACAGTGTATCGGCAAAGCCTTGAGTCCGTTTCACGCGTGTGTCGGTCTGTGTAACGTGAGTCTCACGCACGCACGCACGCACGTACACGTGAGAGAATTCGTGTCACGCTGAGGACAGAGTTTACTCATTTTGTGTGTCAGACGCAGCGAGGAGAACGGAGGTAAGGACCACAGGCCCCTGGAGGCTCAAGTTCCAAAAAAGAGTCTAAAAAAGCCTTCGCTTCGCTCTTATACTCTTTTTTTGGAACTTTATATATTAGATTATCATTATAATGGCGACACAGCACACTCGCATGCAGCGGCGAGTGCGGGAGCGTTCGGCGTTAGTTTTTATGAAGGAAAGTTGATATACAGTGACAAAACAGCGGAACTGTAATTGAGAGGTACGGTAGTATTTGTGAATGTGCGTTCATATTATTTTCAGTTTTTACTGACTCTGTCCCAGGTGCCTGTGGACACACTGCCTGCGCTGCAGATAACAGAGATCCAAGACCACGTACGACGAGGTAGAGAGAGAGAGAGGTAGAAGAGAGCGAGCGATCGAGAGAGAGAGAGAGAAAGTCCAACACAGTGCCAGTCGGCACAACACACGACACACAACACTAGCACCACCACACACAACACCACAGCACAACACACACACACACACACAACACACCAAACGGCACGCACGCCACGCACGCGACGCACGCGCACGCCCCGCACAGCGCGACGCACGACGCAGCGACGCACACGCACACGCACACGCACACCACACCACACACGCTCGTTCACACATATAGCTAACAGCGGACGTTGCCAGACAGACATACACGTACATTAGCCATGCGCCGCGTGCATGTGTGTGTGTGTCACAGTGTGTGTGTGTGTGTGTGCAAGACCCCGCTCATACAGTGCTCCCCGTCTGAGTGAGTGCGTGTTTGTGTGAGCTGGGTGCGCCTTAGCTCTAGTAATATAAGCCGCGCGTACAGTTGCGCTGGCCAGCGGCAACTGTACGCGGTCTATAGTTTATACTAGAGCTAGGTGGCGCCCTTCGTACTCGTCTACGTGGAACCAAGGGGGAGAGAGAAGAGGAGCGAGAAGCACGCGAGAGAGAGAGAGAGAGAGAGAGAGTGAAAGAGCGAGGGAGAGAGAAAGTGAAAGAGCGTGAGAGAGAGAGAAAACGTGAGAGAGAGAGAGAGAGAGAGAGAGAGAGAGAAGAGAGAGAGAGAGAGAAGAGCAGAGAGGAGAGAGGGAAAGAGAAGAGGAAGTGAAAAGAGGCGAAAGGAGAGAGAAAGTGAAAGAGGCGTGAAGAGAGAAGAGAAATGTTGAGAGACGAAGAGAAGGAAGACGAAGAGATCGAGAACGTGAGAGAGAAGAGAGAGAGAACGTGGCGAGAAGAAGAGAGAGAGAGAGAAGAGAGAGAGAGAGAGAGAGAGAGAGAGAGAGAGAGAGGGGAGAGACAAGGGCAGAAGAGAGAGAAGTGATCGAGAAGAAGAGAAGGAGAGAGAGAGCGAGAGAAGTATCGAGAAGGAGAGAGCGAGAGAAGTATCGAGAAGGAGAGAGCGAGAAGGAGAGATAAGAGCTAGAATTAAGGAGAGTTTTACGGAGAGTCCACATTCCTTCCTCGTGAGATCAGCTCGTTGTGTTATATAGTGTTGCAGTTAGTTGTGCATCATTGCGTTGTAAAGTCGACAGACGTGCTAGAACTCGTGTAGGTTGGACGGACACACCCACACACACACACGCACGCACGCACGCACGGACGCACGCACACACACACACAAACACGTGCGCGCGCACACACGCACGCACGCACGCACGCGCGCTCGCACACACATTCGGCATTGACGTTTATTACCCCATATACAGTGGCAACACTGTACATTCACTGATTCAGTTTCATTTCTTTAGGTGTGCCAGCCCAGCCAGGCTCTACGACTGTTTCACGTAGTGAGAAGTGAGAAAGTAACTTGTGGCTACCTACCTGTGTGCTAGCCCGACCAGGCTCTACGACTGACTACACATAGTGAGAACCGAAAAGGAAACCAGCGGCTGGTAATACGTGCGTGGCAAGGCAGGATGGAACCCAACGTATCCGTGGGTGCAGGACAGAGAGGAGGGGAGGTGGAACAGGCGTCTCCGGTGGCGGCGGAGAGGTTGGACTCTCTTGTGACTTTATACATCCAGCCGACGACGGGAGGCGAACACGAACTCGTACTGAAAAGTGGAGACTGCGTGCAATTGATGAAGCAGGTCGTTGCAAAGCAACTAAAAATAACCAAAGACAAACTGAGCTTGTTGTACAAAGACAAGTAAGTATATATATATATATATATGCGGCACAGTATTGCACTCGATCTACACTATCGCTGTGATATCTGCCGTACATGTGTCTACATGCACCAACCCCGCCCAAGGATAACAGAGCTGTCCACATTTGCACATGTCGCACATTGCGAAAATGAATAGGGGACAGCTCGTATATCCTTGAACCCACCAACCCTACACAGCATCCATCCATCCATCCATCCACCAACACCACATAGGCTCCTCCATCCACCCACCAACCCCACACAGTCTACATCCATCCACCAACCCCATACACCATTCACCCACCAACCCCACCCAGGCCCCTCCATCCACCCACCAACCCCACACAGTCTCCATCCACCCACCAACCCCACACAGTCTCCATCCACCCACCAACCAACACAGTCTACATCCGCCGTTTCACTTCGTTTCCGCTGACGTCATTCTTAAAACAGCTCGATTGTCAGCGATCGAGAGCGAGAAGGGAAGGCGGCTGCATTACATTTACACTGCTCTCTCTTTCTCTTTCTCGCTCTCTCTCTCTCTCTC